GACTGTCATGCACCCTGTTTGTCTCTTTTTGTAATTTATTCATTGGTGATATGTGAGCATCACTGGCAAGGCCAGCATTTGTTGGCCATCCCTAACTGTCCTTGAACTGAGTGGTTTACCGAGAAGGGCTCAAAGGGCAGTTAAACATCAACCACATTGCTGTGGGTCTACAGTCACATGTAGGCCAGGCCAGGCAAGAACAGCAGATTTCCTTCCCTCAAGGACATTAGTGATCCAAATGAGTTTTTACAACAATCAATGATAGTTTTGTGATTAACATTACTGAGATTATCTTTCAATCCAAATATTTTATCGATTGAATTTAAGTTCTGAAGGCTACCGTGCATCCCCAGAGCATGGGGAGGCAATGCCTAAAGGTATTACGGTTAGACTGTTAATCCAGAGACCTTGGTAATATTCCGGGGACCTAAATTCAAATCCTGCTATGGCAGGTAGAGGAATTTGAATTCAATAAAAATTGGTAATTAAGAATCCATTGCCAATTGTTGGAAAAACTCACTGGTTTACTCATGTCCTTTAGGGAAGGAAAATGCCACCCTTACCTGGTCTGGCCTACAATGTGACTCTAGAAGCACAGCAATGTGGTTGACTCTTAATTACTAGTAGATTACTACTTCAGTGATATTACCATTATCCCACTAACCTGACACATTCTCAACTGGCAGGGAGCATAGATGGAGTTTATATCTACAACCCTCCAAAGTCTCTGCAGTCATCCAAATCTGGCCTCTAGCTCATCTCAGATTTATAATGCTCCATCACAGGAGGCTGTCTCTTCAGCTGTCTTAGCCTTGACCTCTGGAATTAGCTCCCTAAATCTCTCCACGTCTTTTTTTCTTTTAAGTTCACTTTGGCCAAGCTTTTGGTCACCTGTCCTCCAACAACCCTTATGTGGCTCGTGGTCAAATTTTGTCTGACAATGTTCCTGGGAAGCAATGGCTTATACAAAAAAAAAGCTATATAATACAAGTCATTGCAGCAAATACTATCAAACTACTATTGCCACTGAAGGGAATGCTAACAATTGATAGCTCACTAAGGCTACCTGGTGGTAGCATTTTAACAGTGCAGAATCATATCACAGATGAGTTTGCTACAACAGTGTCATGGGTAAATGTTAACTCATCTCACTACAGAAAGTGCAAATAACTAGCCTAAAACAGGAACAGGAAGGGTAAACAGTGACAGATTTTCTTCCTGATTATGTTAGTAAAAGCCTGCATATCATCACAAAATTGAGCACAGTTGTGATTCCACATGGTTTATCAGCTCAAGAGACTTCTCTCCATATAAAGAATGAGACTGTACAAGGTTTAGAAGCATTCATTCTGATAGCATTCATGGAACTGCATTCCAGAAAACATTAGAAATCAGTAAAATAAATGCATATTTGGCGTTACAAGACCACAGCAAAAAGACAGGCCATTTGGCCCATCTGTTCTATGCTGTTCCTGCTTCACATGAGCTTCATGCCATCCCCTCTTCATCTTTGCTTTTTCCCCTCGTGTGTCTCTGTAGCTCCCCATCGAATGCATATGTACAATTCTCCCATATCACACCCTATGGTAGTGAATTCCATATTCTCATCGGTTTCTCCCAAATTTCATGTTGGACTTAATGAGAAAAGAACTGGGGGCTTAGAGGAAGGGGTGAGAATTTTTTTAACACCATAAATCTGGCATGTGCTGCTTAAAATGGCAGGAAAAGCAGATTCAATAGAAATCCCTTCCCCTTCAACAGGGAATGAGATACTGAAATTTGCACAGCTGTGGAAAGAGTAGGTGGAATCTGGTGAGCCTAATTGGGAAGCTTTTCCAATGGGCACATACTGACACAGTAGGCCAAACAGCCTCCTTTGGTACAATAAGATTCCATGACAGAGATTTGGAGACGAACAGTTTACTTCATTTGGCTCCTCCCGTAACTCCATAAATTGCGGATCAATTTATTTTCATCTTAAACCGGCATTTTCACACTGCAGGGCATAACTTACTCATGTAAATGTGATGCACTGCCTTGATTCCTTGCCGCGACTTGCTTTCACTTTTGTTCTTCATGGGGACTTACACTGAGCTCACAGTGAATCACACTGACATTACCACTGTTGCTCCTCAGAGATTTGAAATATGTGACTCTGCAGCTCAATGTGAGGGATGTTGATGGTAGGGAATTTGACACCTTTGATTTCAAGATCTAACATCCATTCCCCAATATTGCTCTGGGTTTATTAAGGAGATTACAGCAGAAGTGTGCATGGCATTTATTGTGATCAAAGAAATTGATATAGGACATGAGGTCATTCAGCCTGTCACATCTGTGCTCTCTCTCTCTTCAGGAGCTAATCACTAAAATGCCACAGCCCTAGTTTTTTTTTGTAAATAATGATCCAATTCCCTCATGAAAGCCTCAGCTGAACCCACCTTCACCAACCGCTCAAGCAATGCTTTCCAGATCCTAACCACTTGCTGCGTGAAAAAGTTTTTCTTCATGTCACCATTGCTTCTTTTACCAATCACCTCAAACGTGCACCTCTGGTTCTCAACCTTTCACCAAGTGGGAACCTATCAACTGTCCGAACCCCTAATGATTTTGATAATTTCAAGTTTCCTCTCAAACCTCTTTTCTCCAATATTTCTGCTTAACTGAAGTAACAAAAGACATTGCCATAATAACAGAGATGTACTTCTGAGGCTGTAGAAAGCTCTCGTCAGGCTACATTTCGAATACTGCTAGCGGTTTTGGGCCCTGTATCTAAGGAAGCATGTGCTGGCGTTGGAGAGGGTCCTGAGGTTTATGAGAATGATCCTGGGGATGAAGGCTTGTAAAATGAGCAGTAATTAAGGACTCTAGGTTTGTATTTGATAGAAGTTTAGAAAGATGAGGGAGGGATCTCATTCAAACTTACAGAACACTGAGAGGCCAAGATAGATTGGAGGTGGAGAAGATGTTTCCATTAGTAGAAGAGACTTGGACCAAGGGCACAGCCTCAGAGTGAAGGGATAGCCCTTTAGAATTGAGATATAGAGGAATTTCTTAGCCAGAGGGTGGTGAATCTGTGGAACTCATTGCTGCAGAGGGCTGTGAAGGCCAAGTCATTGAATGTCTTTAACACAGAGATAGATTCTTTATTAATATGGGGGTCAAGGCAGGAAAAATGGGGTTGAGAAATGTATCAGCCATGATAGAATGGCAGAGCAGACTCGATGGACCAAACAGCTTAATTCTGCTCTTGTATCATACCTTACAGTCTTGTGGATGGGCCAGGGATCTTTCCCTGTTCACTGTTGTTCGTATGTAAAGCACCAATGAGGCACCACCTATTCCCCATGCCAGCTATCCTTAGAGAAAAGACCTGCATTCATACAATTCAGGATGTCCAAAAACGTTTCATAGCTAATGCAGTGCTTGTGAAGTCACTGTTATAGTGTAGGAAACACTCCAGGCAAATTTCATGCAGCCAAGATACCACAAACAACAGCATGATCGTGGCCAGATACCTACGTTAGTAATGGTTGAGGGATTAAATACTGAGCAGGACACTGAAGACATTGGAGAACTCCAATGCTCTTCATTGAAACAGTGCTATGGTATCTTTTGCATTTACAAGGTCCTCAGTTTAACAACGCATTCAAAAATCAACACCTCTGACTGTACAGCACCCCCTCAACACTGACACTGGGAGTCTCTAGGATGGGAGATAAGTAGAGTTAAGCAACTGTCCCTGCACTTTTGCACAGTATAGATCTGGTATTTGTAACATGAATCCTCAGTTTAAAAGTAGAATATCTGTGAAAGGGGGCAGGCAGGAGATGAAATGCTCAGGTGCTTTATTGCATGCTTGGTTGAATTTGTACACAATTTAAATGCTGCACATTGAGTACAAGTTTTGATTTCACTAGAAAAATCTTTATTTGTTTATAATGTCTTCAGTTTGCCTACAGGACATGAGGGAGAAAGGAGGCAACCAAAGAAACAAAATAACAGTCAATACATCCACCCTTATCAATGTTTGATCACTGCATTGCCTTCAGAATCTTGTGTAAACAGCAAATCTGCTTGTGGACAGAACATGTCATCGTATTTTGACTGTGCCATGCAGGGTGATTCACAACAGAGGCCTGAATGATGCAGCTTCCTTTTCAGAGGAACATTACAGCTTGTGTTCCCGCTGATGTCAATGCTGCAAGGGCCCAATGGAGAGTTCTGGTTGTCGGAAAAGACTGCTCCACACCTGCTGTCTGTGCACCGGTGGGAGATGACTCTGTTTCCCTGAGAGTCTTGGCTGAACAGGAATGACAGCACATTCTCATCTCTGCATGCAGTTTTAGGCTGTTGGAAAGCCTCAGTACCTTGGGGTACATTCTGACAGCGTAGAAGTGAGGTGGTTCCTGGTGACAGCGGTGGTCTTTTTAAAGATTTTGGATTCAAGTTCAACATGGACCCAAAGACATTTTCCTTGTTCTCTGGAAATATATCTTTGTAACAATCAGAGTTTAATTTCTTGGGCAAATGTGCCACCGCTTTCCTTTTCGATAACTTCTTTTGTCTGTCCACAGTTTGTTGTGTGGAAGTAAGCATGCCAAGTAACCCTGCTTCAAAACTCTGCGTGCACAGGATTTCTGACTCAGCAGGAGGTAAGTCAGTGGATTTCCCATCAGCAACAGGCATTCCCTTGCATGATACGTAATTCACACCTGGTGATCTGATCGCCTTCGTGTGCGAGATAACTCGATTTCCTTGCAAGTCTTGAGTGAAATCCAGCTGAGTAAAATCATCAGGAGGCTCACTCGAAGTGTCAACAGATGCATATGTTACTCCTGCATCATGTGCAGATGGGAGCTCAGACTTAACAATATTTATGTTGGCACCATCTTTAAGACAGGAATGCTGTCTTTCCTCCAATATCTGGTGGCTTTGCTCATTTAGAATGAGGGTACTGTTGCCATGTGTAGTTCCACAAAGAGGCAGTCTCTCAAAGCTGTAGTGGACAGTGCTTAAGATTGATGGCAACCTCTCCTGGTGGTCCACAGGAGTGGAGCTGCCAAAGTTGTCTCTGCAATTGCCAGTGATCAGCTCAGGCTGATCTGTGTATGTTCCCTTTTCAATGACAGAATTTGGGGAGGCAGCACCCACAGCACTCAGGACTGATGTTTGTGAGGTGTGTGCTAGTTTACCTGTGAAGAATAAATGATAAAGAGAAACTGGGATTTTTATCATTATTATTGACCACTTCAATTGTTACTCCTCACTGTCTAACCAATGTGAATTTACAAAATATAGCTACATTAAATTTACAGCACAGAAACAGGGTATTCACCTCCTCTGCTCTGTGCCGTTATTCCTAATCCACACAAGCCTCATCTCGTCCCTAACTTAATTTCATCCTATCAACATATCTTCCCTTCCTTATTCCATGATTTGTTCATCCAGCTTCCCTTTCAATATATCAACACTATCCATCTCAACCCATCCCTGTGGGAGTGAGTTCCACATTCCCACTAGCTACTAGGAAAGGATTTTCTTCTAAATTCCTAATTGTAATAACTCTGGAATCTTGCTATAGAACAGGACTTGGTACAAGACGGGTCTGACTTCCACTTAATGGTTCTCATTTTGTGAATGCAGCCACAAGCCTACCTTGACTAGGAACACTGCAGATAGCCTCTACCTGATCTCCCACCAGAAAACCAACTATTAGTAACTGATATTTTTTACTGTGTGCAGACACCCAAGCTGACTGCAAAGGAACACCACAGGAAATCAACTAATTTATTTTACTGAAACAAAGAATTGTGGATATTGGACATCTGAAACAATACCAGAAATTGCTAGATGAACTCAGCAGATCTGGCAACATTTGTGGGAAGAAAGCAAAGTTAATGTTTCGAGTCCAGTGACTCTTCATCAGAACTGATCTGATGTTCTGATGAAGAGTGACTGCACTCGAAATGTTAATTCTGCTTTCTTCCCATAGATGCTGCCAGACCTGCTGAGTTTCTCCAGCATAATTTCGGTTTTTCTAATTTATTTTAAGGCTGTCTGCTAATTCAGGCCGGAACTAGGTGCCAAGGGATGCATTAAAAGCTTGGGGTGCAGCTGCAGAGTCTCAGCGGAGAAAGGTCACTTATCTGAGGCATGTGGTTGGTAACTGTATAAAGCCCCTCATGCTGTAGGCTTGCCATGAAATATTGTGAATAGAAGCTGTAATTGTAAATGTGTTGCCACGTACTGTACAGAAAGAAACTGACCTTTTCGCACTTGTATAAAGTCAACTTGGGTATAAAATGTACTTTTACCCATTTTATGAATAGTGTATATTTTTGGAAAAACAACGGTTATTTGTTGGTTCATACAGGCACTTCGTACTTAGGTTCCAAACATCCCACAATTTCCTACATTAGCAAGGAAGAAAGAGAATCTGATAATTGGGAGTGATTCAGATGACTTTGAGAAGTCATATGACATTTGCCAGTTGCCGAGGTGGAGTGGTTATATATTATTATTTGTGAAGTAAGCATTTCATAGAAGAACAAAGCAATGAGTAACTTCAAAAAAAAATCAGACACAAACACCATTGATTCAATGGGCATTGTTCTACCTGGAGCAGAAGATTAAGGGTATATTCAATTCACAATTATGAGGAGTTTTGATAGAGTAAATAAGGAGAAACTTTCCAGTGTTGGTAACTAGAGGGATACTGATTGACAAAGAAGATTAAGAGATTTTATTTTACTCAGTGAGTTGTTGTGATTTAGAACACAGTGCCTGGATGGGCAGTGGAAGCAGATTTTATAGGAACTTTCAAATGGGAATTAGATAAATATTTGAAGGGGAAAAAAATTACTGGGACGTGGATAAAAGAAAATGGGGGACACGAGACTAATTGGACAGTTCTTTCAAAGAGCCAGAATGGGCACAATGGGCTGAATGTCTTCATTCTGTCTTCATTCGGCAACTGGCAAATGTCATTCTAATGATGAGGATTCATCTCATGACATCTGCAAAGACTCGTTTTGACCTCTAAACACTGACTCTGTTTTCTTTCTATAGTTGCTACCAGACCTACTGAGATTCTCTTGAAGCCCTTTCAGTTTCTTGCACCACTTAATGTGTACTAGATAACTTTCTCAAACAGTGTATACCATAGAGTCCATGAGGAACTGCTCAGATTCCACCAACTCAGCACTGCTGAATACGGCTTGAATTTACGTTACTCCCCACGGCTATCTCAATGACACATAGCAAAGTAGGCTTCCATACCTTTAGCCTTTGGTAAGAAAAAGGAAGAGACTGTTGTCTGTTTGACGCACTGCTGAGGAGCCCTCGTCTGAGTGAAATTTAGAGGAACTTCAACAGTGTAATTCCTTCTGGACAGCGGATACAGCAGCTTTGAAATGAAATGGGACTGAAAAGAAATTTAAAAATAAAACAAATTAGGAATAACTTGTCATCAGCACGAACTGAGAAGATCAGAGACAATAACAGATCATTTATGTACTGCTTAGGCTTCAGGTAGAGTATTGTGGATGATTCATGTCACCAGATTTCATAAGAAACTGCAGTAGTAGGCCATTTGGCCCCTCAAACCAGGTCCACCATTCAACTAGATCATGGCTATCTTCTACCTCAATGCCATATTTCCACATTATCCCTAAATTCCTTAATCTATTAACTTCTGCCTCAAATTCACTCAATGACTAGGCTTCCACAGCCCTCCCTGGTAGAGAATTCCAAAGATTCTAGGCACCCTCCAACCGCTAAATGGCTTACCAGCAAAGAGGTAAAGGCTTTAAAAAATATTTTATCAGGGAAAAGGGACTTCAGTTAGGAGGAATAGTTGGAAAAGTTTAAACTATTCTCCTTGGAGCAAAGGTTGGGAGGTGATGTAAATGAGATGATGATGAGATGCTCTGATAGAGAGAGAAAAAAAATTCCCTGAGGTAATAACACTAAAACACATTCAAAATCATGAGCAGAAGATTTTGAGTTTGCATATTCTCTCGGTGTCTGCTTGGGTTTCTGCTAGTTGATCCGGTTTCCTCCCAGATGTGCAGGTTAGGTGGATTGACCGTGGTGGATGCAGGGTTGCAATGGGCGACTGGGTTTGGGTGGGATGCTCTTCTGAGTGATGATGCAGACTCGACGGGCTGAATAGCCTCTTTCGCTTGGTGGGGATCCTACGAAAATCTATTGGGAGGCGAGGAGAAATTGTTTCAGGAAAAGAGTTGTTGGATCTCGAAGACAATTCCATAAATATTTCTAAAAAGCACATGCTTGTGGGTGAAGAACTTCCCAATATGGACAAAATTCAGGTGGTGTGATGCTAAACACAACTGCTTCCTCAAAAAGATAAAACACAACACTGCAGATGCTGGAAATCTGAAATTAAAAACTGAAATTGCTGGAGCAACATTAGTTGAACGAGAAACATAGTTAACGTTTCGAGTCTAGTCACCCTTCTAGAGAACTCTGTTCTAAAGAAAGGTGACTGGACTCGAAACGTTAACTCTGTTTCTCTCTCTCCACAGACGCTGCCAGACCTGCTGAGCTTCTCCAACAATTCCTGTTTCTCCTCCCTCAAAAGAGACTGTTTAAGCATGGGTAGCCAAATAGTGTCCTTCTGCACTGTAGTTTGCTATGCTTGGATGGAGAAGTTTCAACCCTAACTTGATCAGACAGGAGTATTTCCTGTGTTCTATCTGTAATACCTATTTGAAATACTAAGGCATAATGTACAGAAACTAGAAATAAATAGAATGGAACAAGATCACTCATCCAACTTATACAACTATGAATAATCAGCTCATGCTTTGACTCCAAAACTGGGACAATATTGCTAGGTGGAAAGTAAATACATCCTCAGTCAATTTTACAGAGAATGAGTTGCTGAATAATTAGGAGATCAGTTACACATTACAAGCAGCCCAGTGAGTAGTGAAAATTTGCGATTATATAGTGCCTTTAACATTGTTAAATGCTCCAAGATGCTTTACTGGAGTGATTCTCAGTCATCAATTTGAAATTGCACCACACAGAACAGTACAACACAGGAACGCCGCACAAAGTTGTGCCGAATATGATGCCAATCTAAACCAATTGCTTTTGTGTCTCCTTGGTCCATGTCCCTCCATTCCTTGCATATTCATGTGTTTATCTAAAAGCCCCTATCGTGTCTGCCTCCACCACCACCCCTAGCAGCATGATCCAGACACCTACCACTTTCTGTGTAAAAAACTTGCCCCTTACATCCTCCTTTGAACTTTCTCCCTTCTCACCTTAAATGCATGTCCCCTAGTATTAGACATTTCAATTCTTGGAAAAAGATTCTGACCATCAACCCTCTCTATGCATCTCATGATTTTATAAGACTTCCATCAAATCTTCCCTCAGCCTCCAGAGAAAACAACCGGAGTTTTTCTAGCCTCCCCTTATAGCTCATACTCTCTAAGCCAGGCAGCATCCTGGTAAACCTCTTCTGCACCCTCTCCAAAGCCTCCACATCCTTCTGTAATGTGGCGACCAATACAGAACACAATACTCTATAAATGCAGCCTAACCAAAGTCTTATAAAGCTGCAAGATGACATCCTGACTCTTGTACTCAATGCCTTGATCAATAGATGCAAGCATGCCATACACCTTCTTTACCACCCTATCTACTTGTGTGGCCACTTTCAGGGAGCTATGGACTTGAGCCCCAAGATCCCTCTGTACATCTATGCTGTTCAGGGTCCTGCCATTAACTGCATGACAACCCAAGTTTTTCTATCCTCTCCTTATGCCTCATACCCTCTAATCCAGGCAGCATCCTGGTAAACCTCTTCTGTACTCTCTCCAAATCCAAATGGGGAGAAAAACATGATTTGTGTTATGCAACTTTCAACAAAGTAACATCAACCCCAAAAACACAAACCTCCACTTTCCTCCTCCTCAGCTCCCTTGTGTCCAACCAAGTGTCACATTCCTCCACCTTTGGCTTTCCAAACTTCTTTGTGCGTTTCATGGATGATCAAGAATGTTCGTTGACAGAGGGCAGGCTGAAACAAAATTCACAAATAAATCAAGATACATTATACTGTGCGATACACAACAATCCTTTAGGCCTTTGTTTCCGGAAAGCAGGTCAGAAATACTTCACCCATTTGACTAATGGGGTCCATTGACCCCAACATCGCATACAGACATTAACCCAACAGGCAGGGTGAAGGGGTTTTTATTGGAGTCAAGGGTTCATGGGGGTGAAATGGCACATGGGTTGGGAGGTCAATGGTGGGAAGATGTGGGAGGAATTGGCATTTTAGTTTGGGGGGGGTTGAGGTATTGGAGGGGATGCCGGGCGAAATCCAAAAATAAAAAGGGGGACTTGCAATTCAACACCTCCTTGGGGCATCCCATTTGTGAAGTGCAGCCGCCATGGCAAGGCGGTGGCCAATTTGAGCACAGCAAGATCCCACAGTTAGCAGCGTTGCGGGGGGGCGGGTTGGAAAATCCAAATTTGCGACGATGCTCAAGGGATTGAATATCCAGTCATGCGGAAGTGCTAACGTTCAATTTCCACCCCCCCACTTTGCCCGGGCGGGGAAGAGGGGGACATTTAACGGAAGGTGGGGGGTGGTGGAACGCCATGACGGACATTTTCCTTTGTTGATCAGTTGAGCAAGACGGTGCAATTATTGAGGGCCATGCGCATGGGGAAGGGATCAACGACCAGAGGAGCATGGATTGAAAGGGGAAACCACCCCAAAGAACCCAAGGGGGCAAGATGAGGAGACGGTATCCATTGACACAACACATCGTTGCCACCTGAACGAGATTCGAAGAGGACTATTTCCAAAAATACCGAGAGAATGGGATAGAGACTTGAAGAACGTGGACTCCCCTGGACTGTGGGGGAATCGGGGGAAAGAGAGCAGAACTGGATAGACCGTTCAGTGGGTGGGCTAGTACGGCGCAGAAGGGCCGAACGGCCATTCCCGGCAGATTCTGCCGGCTGCTCGAACAAAACAATCCGGTTTCATCCCGGCGGAAGGGGTTTGGATTTTGGGAGAATCACCTGAAATTAAAAATATAAACACATTAAGTATCATTTAGCACGGCGCGATCCCAAGCTGGAAATTCTGAGGTAAAAGCCGCTCCGGAGAGTTCCGCTAAGACGGTGGGGGGAGGTTCGCCCCCGAACCAGGTTTGGTTTTTAAAATAAAAAATACGTTAGGAATCGCCCAACTGGCGGACAATCTCCCGCCCAGCGCGCGCGCTCCCACACGCCGCAGGGAAAGGCAGCGTGCGCGCTCCCACACACCGCAGGGAAAGGCAGCGTGCGCGCTCCCACACAC